AAAGATTTAATCTGTCCTCACATGGAACTCCATATTCCATACTAATGGTAACCTTTGCTTTTTCCTTCTAGTGTTTTCTAGTTTTAGTGTATCTTAACTGATCTGGGAAGATAAGGCTACATGCAAGATAAAGACATGAAAAAAAATCACATATTTATACAAAGATTTTATCATATTTTTCTTCTATTCTCATTTCTCAGCGCTGTCATTCCTAACACATTATTTCTGTTTTGACCGTCTTCGAAAACTGAACTGAGACTTACCAGAAATGGTGCTAGAATGTCTTTGTTTTCTTATAATGGCTTATAAAGGCCATAAGTAGGTAAGAACAGTTGAGACTGGGTTTTCTCAGCACGTGTAACACTTTACATTTTTAATGCTGAATTTCATCTCCCATTTTATTGATCAGTCACTTTAAGGCAGAATTCATTTGACTACATTATGTGTACAATGTACAGCCTATATTTCAGTAGGTCATTCAGATTTTTTTTTTTATATGCTGTGGAGATAACTAAGCATTTCAGAAAACGATTTATCTCATTCCAAAGTAGATATTCAAAATAAGTCAAATGAATCATGATCCTTTTCTCTTTGTTGAGCATAGGGAGAGCCCACACGTGAATATTTGCACACAAGATGGCAGCCATCTAAGAGTTAGGGGTCTGCTCTAAGCAAGTCATTCTCTCTCCCTCCAAAGTTAAAGGAAAGATAGGCACTTCCCTATGGCAAGCCATCCCACCTTTCTTGACACTTATGTTTGATGGGATGACTGTTGCCTAAAGAAGCTTCTCTCTATACTGACTACAGGTGGAGCTGGGAGGACTGAAGCTGTAAATAACTTCTAGATGGCTAAACATAAATAAGATTATTCCATTGTTAGCACTCTGAGACCATTCTGAACTGCTAGAAGCGAGTCGTGCATTTAAGAAAGTGCTAACAAGTGTGGATCCCTCTGAACAGTACCAACTGCTACAGCTAACATGCCCGAGCTACATGACACGGTCACAGCTGCATGCTGTCTTCCATCTGTACAGCCATGGGAGCATCTGCCCATAGATCTGACTGTCCTAAGCAAGTCTGTATCATCTGCAAGCCTTGTGATCTCATTATCCTTCACCCCTTCTAGATCATTTCTCGACAGGCTAAACTGTATAGGTCCCAGAACAGTGGTACGTATCCCTCAATTAATAAACCTGACCATTTAATCCACATTCAGGGTTCTATCTTTAAACTAGTAATTAATCTTTCTCCACCATATAAGATAATGTGTTATTATTTTCTTCTAATTCTGTCCTGAAATGAAAGCTGGAATTATTCACGGAATAGAAGATATTGGGGAAATGCATTCCTAATTGAAAGAAACATTTCAATATTCATAAATCAAAACACCAATCTTCTCTTTGTCAAATCAAACATAAATGCTTTGTTCTGGTTTGGCTGGACATACCTCTGTATCTTCCACAATGCTCTGTTTTGTGATAAACACAGTTCAAGGCTATTATGTCCCCAGTCTTCAATTTCCTTACAAGAGATGTCAAAAAAGTGTGGAAGAGAGATTTACTAAGGAAATCCAGACAGTCAGCACTATGGGCGCGTGAAGCAGAAGTGACCTGAACTGAAGTATTTGAATACGATTTGAGAACCAAAATACGTCAACTTGTCAACTAAAAATAAATATTTTTTCAGCTTTTTCAATAGAATATGCACAAAAAATCAGGAAAACTGACACTTCCTTGAAATTTTCTATTTTTTTAGAAATTGATTTTCTTTTATAAAACTCGGGCAAAAACGTTCCCAGTGAGATCTACTGCTGAATGAAAATGCCATTACTTAAAACAATTCCATTACTCTTCAAATATTCATCCAGAACTATGTCAGTTATGTAAATACTTGCTTGCAATGCCTGTAACAGCCACTAAATGGTACATAAATGATATGAGACATGAGGTTATTCATAATATCCTAAGAGAAGTATTATGACATAGGCATTCACTTACTATTGAAAATTACATAAACAAAATTTAGTCTGCACTTTTAAAAAATAGTTACGCAAATATCTGAAGACACATTCCATTGCTTCTAGTGACAGAGAAAAATTCCTATTTCTTATTTTAAAAAGGTCTGCTACTGATGCAATGTATTACACAGTACTAAGCTAGAAGAGTAACGCTACTTTAAAATGAAGTTCTGAGAGAAAGTCATGTATTTTCCTCCAAAGGGAGCTGCATTTTATAAACAGTTCTTCACTGTGGACAAGACCTGTAAAAATATTTAGATACTGAAAAATGTAAACAGGCATCATAAGGAATTTTCATGTTCACTTCAAGACGGCTCTGCCTGCATACAATCACAAATGCTAAATGGGCTCTGTCAGACACCACCTGTTAAGAATTCAGAGGTGACGAGAAAAATAACCTCCTTGCTCATATTATTAAAGAATGTTTACTATTTACTGGCTAGCAAAGCAACAAAATCAATAGAATTAGGAATACTGCTGCTTTTGATAACTGTACTAAATGCTACGTATATTGTTAGTCACTCAAATATCTTTACTAAATTGGACCTCCATGCCCTAAGTAGTTCAGCAAAATAAGAATACTGACAAATGCTATAAAATTATCATTTCATTACTGTCAGAGTGCAAAAAGGGAGTTAAGAGTAGCCGGTAGTGTTACTGTAACCTAAAGAAAGGAAGAAACAAAAACAGAAACATAACTGTAAATGCTTTTAGGAAGCTCAACGGGTGAGCAACCAATTGCATTCCTCAAATTTGGTTCTAAGTTGCTATTTATTTTCAAGACAATGTAGAGCAGCAAGAAAGAAAAGCACCATTTCACCTACTTAAATTAAACCCATGCTGCTCTTAAGTGTAGCTGCTCTCTTCCTGACAGTTGTTACTGTAAGCTGGAAATACACTTGTCAAGGAACACCTTGACAGTTCTTTTCACTTGAGATAATTCTGTAATTCTTTACAAAAGTGGAATTGACAACATGAATAAATTTTTTACATTCTAAGCAGCTCTGAGATGCACAGTAGACATTCAAGATGTTTAAATACACAATTAACTGCAATCTGGTTTGGGCAAGCCTCAGCTTGCTTTTAGAAGAGGCTACTTTAATGAACCTCTTTAAGCTAGAGTGCAGCATATCTATTACACCAGTTATTAAACTCATACAAGATTTATCACACCTTACTTATAGCCATCTAAAAATTAGGTGCCTAATCCAAGCTATGCTAGCCTTTCTTTATCATTGCCATTGATAGAGAGAATGGGGCATCCCGAGTAAATTATTCATCCCACTCTAAAACAAGTGAGGTACGTGATATAAGCAGCTCTTCAAATAGGTCTTGTTTTCAACTGACAATATTGGTAGCATAGGCAACTACCTTGGGGATGAGGCCTAATATTTAGATGGAGCCATTTATATCAAATAGGGTAGAAGGATTATTGCCACTTTAACAGCATGTAATAGTAGTGTGTGTGTGTGTGTGTGTGTGTTTGTGTTTGTGCGCGCGCGCATACACATATACATGCAGAGGGAGAGAGAGAGAGAGAGAGTATTATACGCAAAATGCTACCATCACTATTCAAGATGAAAACAAAGCAAAGCTGTCTAGGAGATCAGAAATTCTTCTGTAAGAGATCAGAAAATCTCTGCTGGAGAACCAAGAACATAAAGGTTATGTACTGAAGTGACGAAAAGGAAAATATTACATACCTACGAAGTTATGTTATTTTCGATTGTGGTATGGATAAACACTAGAGCTGACAACCTCACTAAAAAACAACCTATTCTGCACTCTGGATGGATTCACCCTATGGCCATTATTTTCTTTACAGAAGTCACTCAAGCCAGTATGTAGGAGGCATAAAGGACAGGTCAAATCTCGTTTATGCTTGAATGATTAACAAACATATTAGTTGGATATTGCAGAACAGAAACAAGAGCAGTGAATCTTTATAGACTGCAGGATAGCAATGAGTCAAACCATTCTGCAATGTATCTGGCAAGTATTAATCTTGCATTCCACTCTAGGGAAAAGTGATCTGAAATATGGCACACCATTCTGGGATTGTCTTCAGTAAAGCTTCATTCAAACTCAAAGAGATGAAAGGAAGATTACTGGGGGACAAACAAGTCTCTCATAAAAGGAAACCGAGGCAGTCTGACTGGTACAGTTCTCATGAAGACTGAGAAGGTTTGCTCTCCAAAATATGCCAGGCAGTCAATACATAGTTCACTTGCTTCCCTCCAGTTCAGGAAGGCCCTAAGGTTATTCGCAGAAGTGTCAAAGGCAGAGATCCCTCCATACTTGGCCTGTTTCTAATACTCTTTTTATACACAATTACTATGAGTCATTGGGTAGCTGGACCTTTAGTCTAACCCAATGTAGTCATTCTTATGTTGTTAACACCAGGAAGTATATAAATTTAAGTTGGGGAGATACTGGCACAACAACAAAAGAAAATTCAATTTAGTCATGAATAAATTCAGGCTAGAACTGAGAAATTTCCCACCCATCAAGTAATTAGGTTCCTAAACAGTTTTTAAAGAGCAGTGGCAAAAAATCTTCCTTTTTTTATAAAGGCATGTGATGAGCTTTGGTGACTGCAGAATATCACTATTCCAGTAGGAAGAGAAAAGATGATGTGGCTGATCCACTTTGCTCCTTTCTTATGTTTACATTCCTACTTTCATAACTCCCTCCATATTGGTGGTCACCCTTGATTAATCATACATTTATAGGCCAGTCTCAAACTCACACACACACACACACACACACAAAAAAAAAAAAAAAAAAAAAAAAAACTGAAAAAAAAAAAAAAAAAGCAAAGGCTGACTGAACAAATCAAAGTACTAACTTCCCTATAGTTATCAGAGTAAGCATCAAGATAGATTTAAAAGACCAGAGAGTTCAGTACATCATGGCTATCTTCTCACTTTCTCACAGCTTAGTTGTTTTGCAGTTTAATAAACAGGGATACAGAGACACTCACAGATTGATAGATCTTGATAAGATGACAGACACAGTCAGAAGGATGCAACCATAAGGACCAGTTTCAAACTGAAAAGAAAAAAAAAATTGTATTTACTTTGTTTGTTGTGTACATTTTTTAGCCCAATCCTAAAGAAAGGCAAATCCAACTGAAAGCAGAATCATTCTCATTTATGCTAAAAGTGAATTTGTTGCTCTATGTTTTAAAACGCAAGGCATGCCCATATGGTGGCTGAGACAATGTTCAGAAGACATCATATGAAACTGATAAATACAGAAAGACTGGCAGCTGAACAATAACAAATTTAATATGTTCCTTATACTCAGTACCTGGTGAATATTCTTCTGAAGAAATGCAATCAGGTCTTCGTGTCTTGTGGCACTATGTAGTATTAGCTGGGAAGAAATGTAAGAAAAAATGCAACTGAAATGATAACAATTCGTTTCCATAACCTGAAAGCTGAATTAAAGTAGACATAACTCTCTATCTGACTGGAAAGATCTTCAGCTAACATAAAATGCTATAAGGAGCTAATGAAATCTATCTTTTTTTGGCTGTTGTTACTTAGTACATATGCTATCTTAGCACTTCATACACTGAATTTTTAAATGCTGCTTCTTGCCTTTCGTAAGTTTAATCTATGGCCACCTTGATCAATGTCAAACATTGTTTATGCGATGAAAAGCAATTCTTAGAACAAACACAGGAACAATGCAGCTTTAGAGGACAGAGAAGAGGAAAGTAGCTCAGGAGTGTGCACCCCTTGTAGTGACCTGTCTACAGCAGGTATATGTCAGAGCACTTCTCCTCACATCCAGAGAATACTCCCATGAATAATCCTATTTAACATAAAGTTCAGGAAAGTTCACAGGACCAGGCCCTTACTTCAGCACTCTTTGTCCATTTTACCTGATTTTGAAAAGAATGATGGTCTTGCAGATATGGCACGGGGAAAGGTCAAGTAATCAGGATTATATTCCTGGCTCTATCAGGAGTTTCCTTTTCATCATGGGTTTCCTTTTACTTTCACTGTAGCTATGTCCACATGACCTTTGATAAGTAGTACCTAGAGGCAGCGTTATAGTGTTAACTGCACTCTGAAATGTTAGACAGCTCAGAATTATGTTAGTATGTTAATTAAATAATGCATCTAGCCTGTTGGCCAAAGTTTTGTGCTGCATTCACCACATTTATATAGGTTTTAGCTTCTAGTTGTTCCAAAACTGTCTGGTTCTGAAAAGCACTGTCTAGACACACCCATTCCTGCATTCAGGAGATCAGTAATATTTCCTTAAACCGCTAAAGCCTGGCTTACGGCATAAATGTTTATAAAGCCATTGGAAAGATTCAGATGGAAATAAAGGCATAACTGGAAAGTATTCTGCCATTTGCAGTTACTGGAAAAAAAAGGCAAAGAATATTGTATAAAAACACACGAAGAAAATACTGCCTTTTGACGCTCATGGCTGTGCTGAGGAACTTGAAAGGATCCACTTCCATTTTTACTGCATACCAACAGAAGTGGGCACAGTTTATAAGCTTGAAAGTTAAAGGAAACAAGGACTTCAGGGAGTCCAAACGTCCACAGATACTGGAACAGTTCAGAGCCAGAGAGACTACAGGATTTTATTGTTTCCTACTGGCTTTTGGATCACAACTAAATAATTTGACATCAGTGGTTTTAAAACACTATGACAGTAACACGGGATATATGGAAATCAGATTCATTGTACTGAAATAGGAAAAGTTACAGAAAGGATATATGGAAAATATCACTTTAAGTTGCAGAGAACCTTACAGTTTCTAAGATTCCATCCGCTTTGTATTTTCCTATGGGAGTGAACTGCTGTTTTCCTGATGGCCTAAAAAGGATATTCAAATAATACCAAAGTTCATGTTAAAAGACTCCAAAACACATTAAAGAGAAATCAACATTCTACATGAACTGGATGATGAACTAAAGATTTTCTTCATTATTTTGAACTATTTATGAAAAAAAAAAAAAACTTCCACATAAAAAGTTCATTATCAATGAAACATCTACGTTATCTATGCTCTAATTCTCAGTCTGTTCAATATGAATTATAAGTTTCTATATGCAGAAAAAGGATAAATATAAGTTTAAATTGTTAATGATACTGTCTATTGGAAAAGAGTATTAGAGCAATGACATTAAAACAGACGCAGAGAAACAGATGTACGATATCACTGCAAAAGAAACACTTCATAGATGGAAAACATTCCACATTTTGCTGCTGGGAGCATTGTACAATAACCACAGATTTTTCTCTTACTTACAGTGCCACAACTGCTTTTTCATTGCCTCCTGCACGCCATAATATGTCTGCAATAGCCATGGTGAGGCATTTGGTTCTGTGAACTTCTGAAGGCTGAAGACTGCTGTAGTCCAGGAAATGCAAGAAAGAGATAAGTACCAAAATGTGTATCAGGAAGCTTAGCCATTAGAGAGAAAACTGCCCCTATTTCAGTATATACAGACTCATAGCAGGTTTGTAGCCATAAGAACAAAACTGCTTTCTTACAGACAATTTAGGTGTTGTAATGTCTAATAATGAGGCTCCAGCAAGTTGCTTTAGAAAATTGTCATTAGGTATCTCAATTCCTTCTATAGTCATGAGAGAGATTCAGGCAGCTCTGAAGGTCAATTCAAAAACAAAAAAAACCTGTGAGTTGAACAAGGAGCCACTATGGTTACTAACGACATACACGAGATATACAGGTATATTTGAACTCCAGATTTTTTCTGAGGCTTAAGTATCTGAATCAGAGATGCCATTAGAGTACTCACTGTGGACACAGTGTGAAGAGTGCTCAGCATTAGACTGAATGGGCAACAGGAGGATGTGGTTGTGTTCAGCACTGGCTCCGTAGCCAAAAAAATCTCTAAACAGGGAGAAGTGGCCAATGAACTATCGGCTTTTTGGATCCCTTCCCTGGGATGAGCCATTTGAAATCTCATTTTAGGCATCTAAGCAGGTACCTTGAATTTTACTGAAGGTAATTACATTCAGTGAATACAGCTATTTCTAGAAAAACTTCCTCTTTAGATTGTTAGGCAAAGTGGGTAGGTCTCTACTGCAGTCAGAGACAAAACTGCAATATGAGGAACCGTACTTCAGCTAGCTCCGGTGTTAATAGCAATGTGGTTGCACTTGGGGGATCCTGATGAGCGTATGTGGCTTACAGTGATGGCTAGAGTGCTGTGAGCTTGCTAGCTCATATCTATATATTCTGCATAAATACCACTGCAGTATAGGTGAATCTAAGAGACTACATATACAATTGATGCTTTTAGAAGATTAATGCTAAAGATGGTGCCTGATTTACAAGGAAAGATTGAAATGAAATTATATGTGGAATTAGGTTAATTAAGAACTTGACTAAAAAAAGTGTAATGATGGTAACAGTGCAAAGCATGAAGCAGAAGCACTATTTAGCATAAAATAAATGATTATAACAACAACAATCAGCTCAATCAAGAGAAAACCAAATGAGGTACGATCAACAATGGGAACTGATCATATATAGATGTATAATCACATACTGAAAATTAATCTTCGAAAAGAAATAGTAGATCGTCTTTCAGAATGCACATTTATAACTGGTTGGAAAAAAATACAGGTAAAGGTACTTTAGGGAATTGTATCGTATTGGCCACAAATGGACAGGATAAGTAAAAGATCCTTAAATCTGTAATAAAATTGTTTTAATATTCTGCAATAAGATTGCTTAATATATCTATACGTGATATATATACATATAGGAATTACTATACATAGGACTAGAAGGTCAAAAGTCAAATGAGGGAAAAGAGGCAGATCTAGGAGTAAAACCAAGTATGCATGAGTCTTTGAGCACCGCCTAAAGAAGTGGACGACAGACCCTTCCCCCTGGGAATGCAGAACTGGAATCTTTCTCTAGTGGCTTCAAGAACGGCACTCTTTGAACTTCAGATTTTATCAGTTTTAGAACACTACCAGGATGGGACATGAAGCCAAAACTTATTTCCAGCATTTGAGTAAAAGATCTAATATTTCAAAAGACTAAACAAGAAACACTAAACAACAAAAAAATTAAACAGCCTTTCAAGTTCAATGTCTGTCTTCAACATAATGTTCATTTAGAGAATGTTTCCCTCTGAAAGATGTGAGCTATGGGAACTAATAGGTGAGAATTTCAATTAGAAACAATATAACCACAATGGTCTCTTATCTTTGCTGTGTTCTAATACAGACACTCAGGAATCCATGGGAAGCACAGCAACTAATTTATGTGTCTGAGAGAGGTAGCAGAGTAAGAAAGAGTCATGCTAAGTATTTCTTGAAGCTTGAAGAAGTTCGAAATTAAATGCTTGAGATGAAGTGCCTAATACTTTGAAAATTCAGCTACAGTAGAAAGGGATGCTAATCGTCTCATTTCAAGCACTGAGATTCCCTTTTCCTTCTACTTGAGTAAGAGTTTCTGCCCATGGCAGATACATCATAAGAAAAATATGTTTATCTATCTCATGAATAAACCAGGCCATCTTGCTACTCATTTTCAGGAGCCCAAAGGCTTTTAGTATTTCTGTGCATAAAGACCTGTTAACTTGAAATTCCTTGGAGACTTTCTGCATACCTTAGCAGCCCTTTTCATAAACAAAATATGTAAAAGTAAAATCCTTGAAAAGCATGTGGATAACAGGAGGAAAAAAAGGAGGGGTAAATATTGTCAAGTAAATAGTATACGCTGTAGTTAGTTTAATTTGCAACATTTATAGCTTCAACGATGTGGCCTCAATTAACCCATTTACTTGGGCACCTCATAATTTTACAGCATGTACCGCCACTGCACCATGCTGAAAGAGCAAAAGGCTAGCATCTCTGCTTTTATCAAAGAAGACCTGAGACAAGGGGAACAAGGAACGGATAATCAAAGCCTGCCCTCCAAGCTGAAATAAATTCCTGGTTCTCACAACCAGAAATAATTCTTTGGTAATTTCTGTGGAGATTCTTGGTCATAAAATCTAAACATGTTACTTTTCTTCCATATAGGCTTCTGAGCTCTTTTCTGTGGACAAGATCCAGTCTCTACCTTGAAAAATCTACTGCCATTATAGTCTAAATTACACTCTGAACATGTATTATACCATTGAACCCATCTTTTTTACCAGTCTAGATTATTTTTCTTTAAATTGCTTCAAGGAACAGACAATTCTCAGTTGATGAATTCATAGCAACTACTTCAACTGAACCCTTATCTTGAGGCCCATAAGCAATCAGCGTAACTAATAACAGCAACAACAGTAGTACTAATGGTAAAATCTGCAATATTTTACTTAGACTGTAAGCACGGTTTACAATGTCTCTATTGGTTCACATGACATCTCACCTCAGGACTGATTACCCGCTAGGACCTAGTCCACCTGTGTGGACTCCCTAGGGCCTAGTAATCCTTTGATTAACTATCACTTCCCATCCAGTATTGTGATGGGCCCTGAAGACAGACAATGGTGCTCTACTAGTGCCTTTTTCTTTCCATTGTTTATAAGAAAAGCCCAAGCAATTAATCTGCTTTAGATGCCAGTCAGCTAAAGCTGAGGATAACTCAACAGAAACCTTGCCACTACCCAAATGCTTTCAAGCAGGAAAGTGGACATTGAAGGCTAAATTTTGTTTATACAAGAAGGTTCTTTTACCTTCTAAGGTTGGTTTACGAAGTCTGGGTGAAAGCTTAGCCTGAAAGCTTTCCTTCAGATTGCAATGGAGTCAGTGTATTACCCACAGACTACAGGGGAGGAGGCAGTGTAAACAACAATACGAGTAAAATATTGCTGTCCTTATTGAACAAACTGCATCTATAAAATGCAGGACAGCTTTGGAAAATGGCTCTTTTGCAATGGACTTGATTTATTTTTAAAAATAAAAGGTGAATATAGCAGGCCTGGTAATGAGGTAAATCTTTTTAAACATTATTTTCCAGCATTTCATTGAACAAGCTCTGTTCCTTTATCAAAACGACAAGAACGTATTAGCTGAAGAGCAATTCAAGCAATTTTCCTTGATGCTATCACTATTTAACCAAATTTCTTTAAAGTACATAGAAAACACATATAGAAAATTTAAATTCTATTAAGGAGTTTTGCTGTGAAAGATCAAACATACCAGCAAGGAAAAAATAAATAGCCATAACTTTAATACCTTCACTGAGATTCTCTCTTATTGTCGAAAACTGCAAGAATTTCATGGTCTTTCAAGCTTTCATTTTATTTTCTTTGAAATTTTTTCTCCATGGGATCTCAAGGTTAAATGATTTTCACTCGCCACAAATCAAGCTGTTTGATTTTTTAGAGGTTCTTGGTTAATCACAAGCAAGTAATTATACAAATGAAAAGTTAACCTTTAAAATTCTACAGTTAAAAGGGAAGCAAACACAAGTAAATCATACGCTACTTTCTTTCTCCCTCAGAAACAAAGAAAGGTTCAATTCGTTCAAACTCAAAAAGGTTCCTGACTGGCCACAGAAGATAATCTTTTTTCTCTTCAGTATGGAAAACTTTCCTGATCTCAATTGCTGACTTACCGGGTGTCTTTATTCCTGTTACTGTCTCCAAAGATAAGCTGTTGTAGGACACAAGCTTGAACTGCTGCCAGTACTCCACATGGGCCACCCTGAGGGGAATAATAAGAGACTCCATGAAAAAAATAAGTTCCACTGTTTGATGCTGGTGAGAACTTTTTTGCAGTCCATGTGTTTCCATTCAAGCTTAAGCCATCCTTTCATCTCTCTTTTTCCATCCATGACTTTGCAGTGCTCTCTGCTTTTCCGAGCCACTGAAAATCTGTGTAACTAACTGGTATCGTATTTCCCATCTACTCTTCCTGAAAATGCCTAGAACAAACCATAATGGCATCTACAATGTCAAAAGAGGTGGGGGCTTTTTAAATCTATTCTGTAATTATGCAAACAAAGAAATGAAAGATCTCCTGATCCCTGTTGAGCAGATAGTTAGCTTGAATTCTAGCAAAAAAATCAAATCTCACTGTTTTCCAGAGGGTGAAAATAAACCTTGCCCATTCATCAACTCTGAGCACTATGCCTCCCCTCAAATTCCCAGTTACCATCACTAAAGACAGATTTGTGTTTATGTAAAGCCCTCTGCTCCAGGGAGCTATCTCACTGGGAAAGAGAAAAAAAATGAAGGAAAGTTGAAACTTTCAACTTACTAATGCTGGAAAAACCATAATAAATACCATATTAATATTAAACTTCATGAAAAATAGATGAGTGGCCATTTTGAAAGACTGCAGAATAAGGTAGTGATCTGGTTTCTCCTTCTTGCTTATTCCCTGCTATCCAGCCTATCTGCTTCCACTGCATAACCAAGACCTGCTCCTATGGGTAAAAATCCATGGCCAAGACATGCACGAGTTGACTCTGGAAAGAAATGACATGTCCTCTCCTTGTCAAATGAACTTCATCCAGCGCAACACCCTTTTACCTGTCATTTACCCAGACCCTTCATATCATTTACTCCAGCAGTTTGTTGAGGAGACAGAGAAAAGTCATCATTTTTCTAGGACACCTATACATGCACATACCAGACTCCGCAGGACACAAGACTAATAGCATAGGTAACATGACAGCATTCACACTTATCACACTGGTAGCGCTGGGTATCACTGCAATATAATTGATGTAGTGTTTCCCACAGATGTTGTCCCATGTGTCTGTCAGCACCATAGCTACCATTTTTAGACATGGGTTCACCTTTAATATTAAGAATTCTGTTAATTAAACACGGGTCCACCCCAAAAGAACATCCCACATACACTGATGTACTAGTGCTTGCTTCGTCTACAAAGCTAAGAAAAACAACGAAAGTAAAAAAGTATGGATCACCATGCAGTTTCCTGGAGAATTTGCCCTCTGATGCCCATGCCAAAGTTTGTGCCACTGTTACTATCCATAATATGAGATTAATTTAGGATTGCACTGCTGTCATATGCTAAAAGTCACACCATTGATTTCCTGTGTGGATCATAAGCAGGATGTGTGATGAATCAGTTCAGCATTTGTCAAGCTCCTTTCTCCAACAAGGAGAGGTGCAATGCTAGACCTTGTACTAACAAACAAAGAAGGTCTCGTTGGAGATGTGAAGGTTGGGGGCAGCCTTGGCTGCAGTGACCATGAGATGGTGGAGTGCAGGATCCTATGAGGAGGGAGCAGGGCAATAAGTAGGACTGCAACGCTGGACTTCAGGAGAGCCGACTTTGGCCTCTTCAGGGACCTACTTAGGGGAATCTCCTGGGGTAGGGCCCTAGAAGGAAGAGGGGTCCAAGAAAGCTGGTTAATATTCAAGCATCACCTCCTCCAGGCTCAAGATCGGTGCATCCCTCTGAGGAAGAAGACGAGCAAAGCGGGCAGGAGACCTGCATGGATGAGCAAGGAACTCCTGGCAAAACTCCAACAGAAGAAGGAAGTACACAGAATGTGGAAAAGGGGACAGGCCACTTGGGAGGAATACAGGGACATTGTCACAGTATCCAGGGATGCAATGAGGAAGGCTAAGGCCCATTTGGAACTAAATCTGGCAAGGGATGTCAAGGACAACAAGAAGGGCTTCTTCAAATATATCAATAGCAAAAGGAAGACTAGGGAAAATGTGGGCCCACTGCTGAATGGGGCAGGTGCCCTGGTGACGAAGGATAGAGAGAAGGCAGAGTTACTGAATGC